ATTCTTTTCATTTACTTCATCACCTCTTTTTACTTCTTCTAGTCGCAATTTTGCTTACCCTTAAATAAACATTTAAGACCTGACTGACACTACAATAGCTGGGAAGTCGCAGCCAAAAGTATTGTAAGGGGTATCAGAGCAAGTTGCAGTAGCAACGACATGAAAAGCGCTGAAAAGTCGAAAATACACCTCAGGCCGTTAATAGACGAGAAACGCAACCTTTTTCCTCTTGTTATCTCCACGTACTAAGAGCAGTTTCTCCATTCAAGGTTTACTAAGAGAATTTGCGGTATAAATATGCATGCATTCATTGCACTCAGACAATCAGAAATTTGTATAGAGCACGTACTAGACAGGGGCGCAGAACGCGAGGTACCAGCATGGTATATTGTTGATATATATTATAGACATAACATAGATGCATTATACCGAATGGTCAGCTGTTCCAGATGGTTGTTGACCAGTACGTATACAGATGCTACATTTTAAATGTGGATGTTCTGTACAATATACCAATAACATAGTCTCATTATAGCTCCAGCGCATACGTTGTGTATAATATACCAGCAACATAGGTGTATTACACGAAGAAAATTACGACAACTTGTGCTTTCATGGTTCTATGGGTGTGCTGTGTGTATATTATATACGTTCTATTACGTTATCTGTATAAGATACCGACAACTTAAAGGCAACATCGCTTCTGTATATGTACTGTGTATATCATAGCAGCAACATAGCCACAGTACATGTATGTGGAATTTTCTATGTTTTCATGGCTGCGATGGAAAACGAAAGGAATGTGGGTTCCTTTCAAAAAACTCCAGACAGAATATGATTCTGTGATAACCATTTTTTTGTGCTGTGAAGATTTGTTGTGCGTTCGCATATCGGCTGACGGGTCTCCGTCAGCGGAATTTGAGTTTTTGTAAGGCCTCGCTAATGGATTGCCGTTAGCGAGGCTATATAAGCTAACGGCTCCTACACTCGCGGTTCTTTTGCTTCTTTCTTGCTTGCTTTCTTCCCCGGTTCGTCTTAGTTTACTGTATGGGTCATGAGATTGGCTGCGAGTCTTTTGGCTGGCTGGGTTTGGTTTGTTGCTGGGGCTTTTTGATTTTGCTATCGGGACCAGTTAACGTGTACGATTGGAATCGGCCTCCATTACGCTATCCTACATTGCTTCAAGCCGAACAGTTTCAACTGTTGGTCCAGGTTAGTCAATCGACGCAACAATTTGTGGTGCATTGGCCGGGAAAGCTTGAAAGGGCCGAACTGTAGAGGAACCGCCATGTCAGGAGGTTTGGGAAGGGCTGCGAGTTTAACGAAGACCCAGCAGCAACGATATTTACAGGAGATACCAAGTTTATCAAAACCGGAAAAGCGACTCGCGGTTAATAAGCAAATTGAGCATTGTGAGGAGCAACAGCAAAGGCTAGAACACTCAGTAAGGCGTATCGAAGCAGCTGTTGGACATTTAGATCGACAGAATAATAGTTGAATTGAGCTTATCCAGAGACTTGACCCAGCAGAAAGAGAGGCTGAAGAATGGGTCTACGACGAGTATCTAGAAAATACCAACAGTTTTTTGCACGTGCTTGAGAGTAGAAAAGAGCCATTGGATGTATTAGGATTAGAGATGACAAGTCTAGGCAATATAATTCGGCGCCTTACAAATTCTCAAGTGTCCCAGAACACGAACAATCACCGCGGCGGTGATTGGTTCGTAAAGCTAGCAAAGCTGGAACTGTGTCATTTTTGTGAAGATTTAACGCAGTGGCCAGAATTTTTCTCAGGCTTTCAAGCAGCGGTCGATGCAGCCAATCCCCTAAATTACCTATTTTCGATTCTTAAACGCAAAGCGTACGCCGCGGTGGCCGGCTATACCCCCTCTCCGCAGAATTATCACACCGTACTCTCGGTGTTGAAACAAAGATTTGGTGACCAAGACGCAATGAAAAAGGAACTTTACAAAGAGTTGAAGAGGTTGCCAAAAATGGATTAAAATAAGGATATCAGTAGGACTCTAGGACTAGAAAAAGCTCCGCGGCAGCTTGAGAACCTGGGAGGGAATGTCGAGCAGACCCAAATTGAAATTGCGATAGAAGAAAAGTTATTAAGATGGGCACTGCTAGAAGTTTATGAAAGAAAAAGGAATGCTGCGTTATGGTCAGTAACACATTTGCGTGATGTTCTCGGGGAAATAGTCCGAACGAGAGAAAGGGTTAATTTAATCTCTGAAGTGAAAAGCTCTGGCGTCACAAACCCGGTGAAAA